TTATAAGAATTATAAAGGGTTACACTGTGCTTTTTTTAAAAAACACGGATATGAAACAGTTCACTGTCCCCAGTACCTAACTAGGCCAGATGGTCCAACAAGATACTGAGATCAGTGATATCGAGAATTGCCAAGAGGTATAGGATGATTAACAAAATTGCACTCCCATTATCTAGTCCCCAGTGTTGGCCATCTGCCAAGGTGACCAAAGCAGTTTCAGTCCCTTAGAATGGCCAAAAGTCAAGTTGAAATGGGTCCAGAGAGTATCCATCAGGATTGTTAGAAGCTATAGGACCTTTCAACCTCCCTTGCCAGGAATAGATAATGTCTAATCAAGGACAGGGTTGTTGTTGTTTTAAAACAAAAGTTTTGTAATAGCTTCATTTAGATGGGAAGAAAAAGCAGCTTCCTGTAAAGAAGTATTTATCATTGCCCTAAACCAGTCCTACCCTGGCAGGTTTGACCAACTGCAAGAAGCAGGTAAAGTGGTGGTACCCTGTGTGTTTCCACATCCATAAGGTCTGTCAGCTGAACAGAATCTCAGGTGGCAGACACAATTGTTGCCCTTAGGATGGCGTTTTTGGATTTTCTGGCCTACAAATACTAATTCTCCATTCTGGGAGCTCTGCTGACCATACAAATGACCAAGGTTTTGCTAGGCCAAGGTCTACCCAAGCTTCTTCCACAGCTCTGTAGAAAGTGGCATGCCTTGCCTGGACTGATGTATTGGTATATTAAATTCAAAATGAATTGTTCTAATTGTTGGAAACAACTGAGCAGTCTGTCCTTTTTTAAAGTTCTTCCTTGATTTCTGGACTGCAAAGCGTCTGTTGCAGTAGTATGATAAATCCTTCAGAAGATTGTAGTTGCGTGTATTTCTATTTGTGTCTGGATGTGAATTATATTTTTCTAACTCTTATCTTTTTTTCATCTTGACAACAGGCTGGCTGATTATTAGGTTTTCTCTGAAACAATGATATATTGTATGTACTCAACATTCCTCATTACTATTGGTTCATTTTGTTCTTTTCAAGCTGCTTGCCTTGCCCTTCAACTACACTTAAACTCTGACTAAGAGGCTTTTTAATACACATAATATTCTTTCATGTACACTCCCCTCCCCAGTCTAAGGTAGTGGTTCAGAAGGATTTGTGCTAAGCTTTGCCTGGACTGTTTTATTGAAGTAGCTGACCTGGCCTGATGGCTGTACTTCAGGTTAAGAAAATAAGACATGTCTTAGCTGAGAAAACCAAAAGGAGATGTGGCCTTCCACTGTTTTGAGAATGGGAAGCCCAGTGTTTTTAAGAAGTCTTAAAGACAATAGGTTGCTTTGTTCCAGTCATCTGTGTTCCATGCCTTTTTGATTAGACAGCATGGAATGTAAGACTGGATATGTCAGAATGGGTTATGTGTTGTTGTTGTTTCATGCTGTCAAGTCATCTCTTGACTGATGGTGATCCTATGAATGCAAGATCAACATGTCCTGTCTTCAACAGCTGTGCTCAGCTCTTGTAAACTCAGACCTGTGATTCCCATTATGGAGGCAATCCGTCTCCTCTTTGATCATCCTCTTTTCTTGTTGCCTTCAATTTTTCTTAGAATTCTTGTATTTTCCAGAGACTCCTGCCTTCTCATGATGTGCCCAAAGTAGGGCAGCCTCAGTTTCAACATTTTTCATATTTCAAACGAATAACTTTTTTTTCCTGGCAGATTACTGCCCAGCTTCCACACCTGTAATATGGTGATCAGGAATGCAAGAGTGTGAAAGATCTTAATCTTGGTCTCCAGGGACACATTCTTACACTTGATGATCTATTCTAATTCCTTCATTGCTGTCCTTCCAAGATTTGCTGTCCTCTGAAGATGCCGGCCACAGAGACCGGCGAAATGTCAGGAAGAACAACCTTCAGAACATGGCCAAAGAGCCCGAAAAACCCAGAACAACCATTTGGTATTTTTCTGATTTTTTGGTTTCAGTCTCCATTTGGATTGAAATTGAACCAAGGATATGGATAGATAGATGGATTTGTTTGCTGCCTGTGCACAGATGTGTATGAATTGGGTGAGATCTGGCTTGGCTCAGAGCTTCAAGATCCTGTGGTTATATTGGTTCTGTGGTTTTAATTCCTGAAAAAGCATATTTAAAAACATTAAGTGCATATTAAAATAGTTGTTGAAGAGAAGGGAACAAACTGAACTCACAATCCACATCTTAAATTTTAGCACCTGTATCTGTTTACTGAAGTAGTAGTTAACTCTTGACCTTTCATTTCTTCCCATAATAGCAACATCCCATTTAGAAGGTCCAGAATTTGCTAGCTGGGTTATAATATAGTTTGCTAAGGAGTTATTTATAACTGATGCTAATAAGCCCTTGCGTACCCTACTATTTAAAGTTGGAAACTTAATATGCCTAACACTGTACTGAAAAACATTTGCTGGCATGCTACACAAGTGCAATAAACCACTGGTCTTCTACAGTAGAAGGCATTAGCTGTGGGCTACGAAGTTAGTGGGTTCAAAAGTCACCTTTGCTGTGAATTCATTGGCACAGTATTGAGTCCCCTGATCTGTAATATGAGGATCACAGAATGGACCTGCAACAAAAGGTTGCAGAGCAATGTTCTGTTCATGTTCCTACCATTGCATTCAATTTATCCCTGGCTGATTTTCCATGCATCAGTACCCAGGAGTACCAGCTTCCTGTGCTTACTTAGCACAGTCAATCGTTAATAAACTTTTAGATCCTTCTTCCTTTTTGAGTTTTGGTCATTGGATTTTGTCCCAAAGGCCTACTTCTTGTGCTGATTTGACTAAGCAATAGCATTTACCAGTGAACATCAGAAATCCAGTGAATTCAGCTCAGATTGTCTCTTGATAAGTATCCATGTGTCTGCCATGGTAAGAGTAGTATGCAGTCAAGTCCATTCTGAATTACAGTGATGCTTCTCAGGGTCTCCAAAGTATAAAGTACTTGGAAGTGCTTTTCTCATGGCATGTTGGGACCCTGTAGATTACCCAGCAATGCGTAGGCTGACTCTTCTCCTGCAAGGCACATTGGGGGTAGGTGCAGTCTTGATATCTTGTCCTACAGTTGGGAGCTCCAGTTCAGTGAGCCATCCAGCCAGAAACTGCAATGGTATCCCAGTGCATTGCAGAGGAATCTGGGGCATATTCTGTATCAGAAACTGGCACGATCACATGGTTAGACCTGTTTGGTTCCACTGTTCTGATAAAAGAGACGTTCCAACTTATAACTAGCGCTGTTCTCCTTGCAATTGCTTACTGTGGGTGATAAGACTAGGAACAATGTTAGCTATCTTTTAGCAGAAGTTCCTTGGTACTCTGATCTTCTCATCAACATGACCATTGTTCCCTCTAGTTTTCCGCTAGTGCTGGGCAGGGGATCCCCCCTATATATGCAGGGTTCCAGCCATGATCTGGCACCAATGCAGCACTGGGTGGCCGCACACCCACACAGTTTAGAGGAAACATTGTTCATGACCCATAATAAGCTTCTTAGCAATCCTAGCTAATGACAGATCTGCTAAGTTAAGCCAAGTCTGCTTTTTGCCATCCTATTTTTCTACTTGTAAGGAGTTGTTGAACATAAGTGGCGCTCTAAATGTGTTTATCTGCCACCTTGTTCTGTTCCATGCAGATCAGATACTGTAGTGTACGTGAAGTAGCTTAAGCGAGTTGACACACATTATTCCTTTTTAACATTTCTTTTGTTCAGTTTGAAGAAAGAGATGCCAGGCGTGGTTACCCTACCATTCTCATCTCCACTTTTCTTCAAAAGTGAATAACTTAGAATTCAGTCACGCAAAAGTGAATGGATATTCTGTTCTGTGTACTGAAAGTTAACTGTATGAATGCAATAAGGAGGTGTCTGCATCCATGTGCTTTCTACAGAAAATTTTGTTGAAAAGTAGTAACTTTCAGGAGGTTCATTTTCAGTGCATACTCCATAAACAGTTTGTAGTTGTTACTGAATATTTGAAATAGCGCTTACATGGGGTGCTGAAAGAAGCTGGACACTTGCCTGTCTTCTTTTGGTAGACTGGTTTTCAGTCTAATCTTGTTACTTCACTGATGAGCATTTAAGATGCAGAAACAATGCTAGGGCCATCTTGAATTGCAAAGTGAATTGACCAGCCCAGCATATTCACAACAGAAGCATGTGTTGTCAGTGCAGCCTATGACATAGTTGACAAATGTCATCTATTTGAAAACTCTTCAGGATCATAAAATGTGGGATGTAGAGAACACAGCTGGAGGAAGACTGTAATAGGTGATCTCTGGGTGACAGGAGGGCTGTTGCATCCCTAGCTCCCTCGGCTCCAATATTTCCAAATATATTCTGGTGGCTTTTTGTTAGCACCATCATATTTCTTGGAAACATTTTCATAAATATTTTATATACATGTGGTGATTCTTCTAACAGCTGGTTTCTTGGCTTTGTGTTCCTTTATGTCAGTATTGCAATAGAATGTAGCAGAAATGGGATGTTGGTAGCCATTGGAAATAGCAGGAGGATAGTAGCAGTAATAAATCAAGGAGTCTTTTTGTGATGACCCTTTAAAAAAATTCCAATCCCTGCAGAACCAACATGGTTGGTGTGCATGCTTTCAAGAGTTGATATATACATTCCGCAAAAATATATAGCACAGATTTCTTAAGCCATGTGCTGCATCATGCTGCAGGATGTTGAAAACTCAGTGTCTCAGAAAAGTTGATGCATTATGTAGACCGTGGAGATAAAGAGTTCAGATTTCAAAGCCATGAAACTTGCTTTAATTGGTCACTGAATCTGAGAGTAAACTGAAATGGGGGCTGGATGGAAGCCACATACACTGTCATGAGGCATTGACATAAAAGATGGAGGAGGAGGAGGATTAAGAAGCCTAAAATGTCTTTCCAGGTAGCAGAAATATTTTGCTGTCTTGTTGTTGCATCCCTTTTTGTGACAAGGAATCTTAAGATATTGTCTCGATGGCATGGAAACTATTCTGAAGTTGCCTTCATTTTGTTTTGCAGGCCCCTTCACAGATGTTGTTACCACAAACCTGAAACTTGGCAACCCTACGGACAGAAATGTCTGTTTCAAAGTGAAGACTACAGCACCACGTAGATACTGCGTAAGACCCAACAGTGGGATTATAGATGCAGGAACGTCAATTAATGTCTCTGGTGAGTTATTTTAAGATTTTCAACAAGGCAGTGCTGCAGAGAGATGTAGAGCCCTCTATATGTATTCCTGCATCAAGCAAGGGATTGGATTTAATGGTCTTATAGGCACCTTCCAACTTCACTGTTCTGTGATTCTGTGTTAAGAACTCCACCTCTTTCTTACAGTACCTTTAGTTTGAAAATTAGTAAGAAGTTAAATAGAGAAAAAAGGGATGTTAAATCAAACTGGGGTACTCATCTTTGGGGTTAAGAGGCATCACCATTATCCAAAACTCTGTTTAATTGTAAAACAAGATGCATTGGGAACATTAGCCTTGCTTGAAAGAAATACATGTTATGAACCATTTTTGCTATTGAACAACCAAATTTTGGCAGCAGGGAGTGTGTGTGTGCAAATCAACAAAACGTGTGTTTTGTGTGTCTCTGTTAATGTATATAGGGCCAAAAATTGGTTTCCAAGATGCTGTTCTTTGAACGCAAGGGACAAAGTATGCCAGACTGAACAGATGATGTCATGTTGTCTGTCCGCTGGGGCTGTGGTGCCAAGACTATGAAATATTAAGTTTTCCTTTATTTTCTAATGTATTTTGATTTGATGCCATCTCTGTCCCAATCACTAACAAGTTAGACAGGCCATAATGTTCAAAGTTAAAGTAACTCTCCCCTGGTTTTATTCCATTTTTTAGTCAAAATGAACACTAACACATCAAAAGCCATTGATAAAAAACTGCTGTGATAACCAAGGCTTGAAAAATTTTAGAATGTCTCTCCAGTCAGTCAAAAATCTCACCAGTCAGCATGACCAGATTATAGTCTTGCAATTTATGTTACCAAATTTAAACTAGGCACTTGTCCACTTTTATTTCTACATAACAATGCATACAAACCCAAAATAAATTGTATTATGTACAGAGGTGCCTCGCTTAGCGATTGCCTCGTTTAACGATGTATTCGCTTAGCAATGAGGTTTTTGGAGTGATCTTGCGCTCTGTTTAGCGATGTTTCCAATGGGGAAATTTCGCATAGCAATGTTCAGGACCTTGCCTCACTTTGCGATGACAGTTTAGGTCCCCCTGTTTCGCTTAGCGATGTCTGTTTTCGCTATTTTTAAAGTGTCTTAAAATGTTCAAAAACTTTAAAATGCTTGGAATCATTAGTGCACCCTGTAAAACCTTTGCAAACTTAATTTGGCTTTGTTTTGAGTCTTCATTAATTTTTGGTGAATTTTCCCCCCCATTGGAATGCATTGAACTGTAGGTTTGGCAGCTGTCAGTGCATTCCAATGGGGGGGAAATTCACCAAAAATTAACGAAGACTCAGAAAAAAGCCAAATTAAGTTTGCAAAGGTTTTACAGGGTGCACTAATGATTCCAAGCATTTTAAAGTTTTTGAACATTTTAAGACACTTTAAAAATAGAGAAAAAGGACCTGTCAAAACCATTGAAATGCATTGAAACCTATTCAATGCATTCCAATGGGGGAACCGCGTTTCGCTTAGCAATGTTTCCTATGGGGATTTTCTCTTAAGGATGGTAATCCGTTCCTATTGGAACTGATTATCCAGTTTTCAACGCATTCCTATGGGAAATGGTGTTTCACTTAGCAATGTTTTCCCGTAGCGATGTTTTTTTAAACCAATTAACATCGCTAAGCGAGGCACCACTGTACACGGAAATCACTGATTTGTACCCTCAGACCTGGGTAGCTTTATTACCTGCATGCCTGTGGGGTCATGAAGCTTGTATTTTGAATGCCTTTCTTTTGAATGTCTCCGGCAAAAATAAAACTGAAAGCGTCCAGCGTCTTAAGGAGCCACGGTTCCCCCCCACCCAGGTTGTGTCCTCATTCAGTTGAAATTGGGAGAAAGGAATCTCTATATTCTCCAACATCGGACTACTCTACATTCTCCTGCAGAACCATATCTCTGTGTGCCGCTTGAACTCTCTTCTCGTGAGAAGAGGGTAGTTTTCCTTTTGTAATGGGAAGGGGGGGGAGGACTGCAGCATTAGAGAGAGAGAGAGAGAGAGAAAGAGGCTCGTTGAGCAGCATTTTTCACTTGTCACAGACGAGTGGACGAGTGCATTTTTCAAGCCCTAGTGATAACTTTCCTCAGACCTCAAAATCTGCAAATATTGCACATAAGAGCAGTCCTCAAACCACCAGTCAGCAGTCTTGGATCACACTCTATTTTGATCTGAAGTGTGGCATTTCCTGTGTGTTTCTTAAGAAGATAAGAAAGGCAAGTGGCCAGGATGTTGTCTGCAGCGTGAAAGCAGCAGAACAACTGACCTTCATGTGTGGTTCCAAAATAATCAATTCACGTTTTGGTGAAAGAAGTGGTATTAACAGTGGGTAGGCACTTTTAACTCACAGTTGGTCTGACTTCCTTCATGTTCTGTATCAGAAATAGGGAATACCTGGGGGAGGATCACACATGACCTCACCCCTGTTCATCATCACAACTATCACTCTCTAGGCCTTATCATTGAAGTGTTAAAATATTTGAAGTGAAAATGCTCAGGCAGTGGCAAAATCCAGGGTGTCTTGTGCTGTTCAGCATCATTTCTTAAAGTACTTGGATCAATACTAAGCTCCTGTGGAGAACTTTGTAAAGAAGTGGTAGGGCACTTATCTTTCAACCTGATGCCAAGTTTAGTCCCTTGCACCTCAAGTTAAAAGGATCAAGTTGAAAGTTGATCTCTGCCTGAAACCCTAAAGAAGTACCATCAGTCTGACCTGAAAGGCATTCACTTAACCAACAGTTGTGGCATATGTTTCTTCTGTCATCATTGTTATTTTCAGCATTTTTCAGTTTTACTTCTTACTGGTATTTGTATGATATTTACATTATAGCATTTTTAGCAAAAAATAATTTCTGAGAGAGGGAGAAAAACAGATGGTTTTAAAAGTTTCAAACAAGTCTGTTGCTGAGGCCAGAGCAATATGGTTAGTTCCTTAAAACATGAATGAAACAATAAAAATAAATATTACATCAAGAGGTTTTGACTTTCACTTTTAGTTGCTTTGAGTAAAAGCATGCTATAGCTTTTTACAAATTATTAACGCATTATAAAAGTTGATGTTAGGGTTGTGCACAGGCTACCAGACCTAGACTGTGCCTGAATAAAGGCACACAGATCAAGAGAAAGCTGTCCTCTACCCCTTGGATGACACTGTCCTTATTTTTCCTTGGAATTGGTTACATTATATATATATTTTCAGATTTCTGGGATGGGGAATCTGTTCCTGTTACAAGGAAAACACAACTGTGACATGGAGGGGTAAAAAACCACATCCCTTTCTCGGGGATGTGGTGGGCAGGGGGATTTTACTTCTGTCCACAGGCATCCTTCTAGGTATTTTGCAAAAGCCGTGGGATTTGCAGCACAACATTTATACGAAGAATTAAGCGTGGGCTGAAATCCATCCCCACTGGTTTTGATTATATTTTAAAAGTGAATAATTTTGGCTGGATTTAATATGGCCTTGTTTCATCTTTGAATAATTTTTGATTTTGAGGGCAGCCTCATATTTGTAAAATGGTAGCAATGGTGACCTTGTAGCACTTCTGTCAGTGTTACTGGACAGCCATCTTAATATTTAATTGGATAATGGAAATAATATTTAATCATTTTTGTTAAAGGCTGCTTTAATGATACAACCATCTTTGTGAGAGATAGTGTTCAGCCACACATTCTTTAGTTGTTCAGAGTTGTTGAAAGACTTCATTACAATTTATTATCCTTTTAGGGTCCAACAAAGCTATCTGAAATGCACATAGCTGTATATCTTACTTGTTCAAGTATGGGTTTAAAAGTACAGTTTCAGAGTATCTCAGCAGTTGTGTTACTACTGTAGAATGCTGCTGTGAAATCTGCCTTTGAAATTGCAAATCTCAATATTTACGAATATCCAAAGTACATACACAGCACAGCAAGTTCCTTCCCCCAGTACACATACAAGAAGTTTATTTGTGTAGCCATTACAAAAAGAAACACACAGAGAGATAATAAAAATAGCCAAATACATCAAATAAAGACAGCCAGAATTACCATGCCAACAGTTTTACTCAACTTGAAGAGTCAGTTTGTCATCAGCAAAAACTTTCCTCCCTACAAGTGATGCAAAAACAAAATAAGCCTCTTTTTCAGAAGTACAGAGGGAACTGTCCCCTGGTAAGAAATATATTAAATGTCTGTCAGATGTGTTGAATGAAACTGTATCGTGTCCATGTTGCCATCAGGAAAGAGGATGCCATAGCAAAGGGCAACCTGAATGTTGACAGCACCAGTGGCAGCAGTCAAGATGGTCTACACTGGATACCCTCTTCTATTCACCTATGCACAAATTGACACCACACAAGGGAAATTAATATTAATATTAATCTAAGTAAACAAGTTGTACATATTGCATATACATGGCCCCAGAGGACCAAACTGTGACTAATTAGTTGTCGTTCCCAGCTGACATTCGGCTTTCATCCTGCTGAAGTGGATTTGCTTTCCGTTCATACCATGCAAAACACGAACCCATGGTTCTTGTCCCACTGCATCTTCATTGACCTCTGTAAGGGGCGACATGGAAATGGATCATATATTTATAGGCCTCTTGTTCCCTCTTAACCTTTGAACCTTTCTTCTAGGCTTAGAAGCCTTTGTTGTTCTTCTGTATTTCTTCTCTCATAATTTAAGTAGGCTGCAATAATTCATATTCCCATATACACATTTTTTTGCCTTTATTACAGTTGGCTTCTCCTTTCAGGTTCCAGAAATTTGGCTGAGATACATGTTTTGCTGTACATTTTGCTTTTTCATGTCTAGGTTTAAAGTACAGAAGTCTCTGAACAGTTATGAGTAGTACTCTGGAATGGCACAAAAATTTTATGCTTTGAAATCCCCATGCCTATAAATGCCCCTTGTCTAAACCTTGGTCCCATAAAACAGGACTGTAAAATCTACTGTGGCTCTTCAGATGTCTGTGTTTAGTTCCCATCAGTGCCG